GGAAGCAAAGCACCACATGCCAGCTTGTCAGTTCTGTCTGCTGAGTTTAAATTTTAGGATCACAAAAGCAGATGTGAAATCACTCAGACTCCACAGGCTCCCCCAGAAGTGAAGGCTGACGCAGGCTGCCACGGCCCACCCAGAGCTCCTCTGAAGTCTGCACTGGGCGGAGCTTGCTCAGGGCAAACATCTGCTTTGGCCACCACGCTGCTTCTCACAACCCAACCCCATCACCGCTGCTCGGAGCCCTTCCGGTGGCCTTAATGCTTGTGCTCTGGATGTTGACTCTTCTCCAAACAAGTGATGGATTCTCTCATTCAGACACCTCCCACTGAGCTCATTTTGTGAACCACACCTTACCCCTGCTGAACCAGGGGGCTGTGCACAGGTGGCTTTCCGCGCACTTTTGCATTTCCTCCACTGAGGAAGCAACCCCAGCCCCATCCAGGGCCCTGAGCAGCCTCACAGTTTCACATTGGGCTCCTCCCCAGCCATGCCCCAGGAAGGACCACATGCCCCTGCACCTTAGGTCTAACTACAAAAGCCACGTTTGACTTGAATATTCATAAAGAGAATCTCACATGAACTACAGGATGGTCTTGCTGTGGATCCCCTGGAATGAACTCACACATACGCACAGACACGTCTACACACGTGTTTGCATGTACACACACCATGTACACATACGCGCAAATTTGTGTAAATACATGCATACACCCTCCCTTAAAATGAAGCAGCTTCTGGCTTTTGGGCTCTGGTGTGTTTTGAACCATGCAACCCAAGTGCAAGGTGCCAACACAGAGCCTCACTCACCGCTCCGTGTCAAAGTATGCATCTATGTAGGGATGCGGGGCGCCCGCCACGGCGAAGTTACTGCTTCCAGTGTCTACGAGGATCTGCAGCTGTTGTTTAAGGAGAAAAAAATAGAAAGCATCAGGTTACTTGCATAGTACTCAAATAATTTCTTGTAAAAAACTGACTATAAGAAATAATTTACCTCTTAGAAAAAACTTATACTGATGGAGGGACTATTGTAAAATTTAAATCTAAACAGGGTCCCCGAAGCAGCTTGTGTTGGGGGGGGCAGTTTTACCTCAGATCCACACTGAGCCTTAAAGAAAATAAATTCCACGAAATAACCGGGATTGGCTTTTTAAGCCCCCGGCACTTGCTTAGAAGGCCAAGCCCTTTCTCAGTGCTGGGCTTTCGACCAGGTTGATCTCCCGACACGGCGTCTGCTCCTAGGACACCTCACAGCCTCCCCCAACACTTGGCACCCCTTCAGCTCTCTGGATGGCCCCCAAGAACACCTTTGATAAATATAATTTTTTAGTTTTATTTGGGTATAATTTGTGTGCAATGATATTGCAAGAGCATAGTGTCTTCCGCTCGGCTTGCTTCAGAGAGTCTCCCTCCTCCAGTATTATCCGACCCTCTTCCTTCTTCCTGCTGAGCCGGATTCCTCTGCAGGGACACACTGTGATTTCTCTGCTTCTCCTCATGGGCACCTGGGTTTTAGATGGCCAGTTTTAGACCATTAGGGATAAAGCTGCTATGGACATTCTTTTTTTTGAGACTGAGTCTTAACTATGTCGCCCTTGGTAGAGTGCTGTGGTGTCACAGCTCACCTCAAACTCTTGGGCTTAAGCGATTTTCTTGCCTCAGTCTCCCAAGTGGCTGGGACTACAGGCGCCCACCACACACCTGGCTATTTTTTGGTTATAGTTGTCATTGTTGTTTGCAGGCCCAGGCTGGGTTCGAACCCGCCAGCTCTGGTGTATGTGACTGGTGCCCTACTCACTGTGCTACAGGCACTGAGTCAGCTATGGACAGTCTTATATGTCTTTTTGTAGATGTGTATATCCATTTCTCTAGGGCAAATTCCTACCAGTGAAACTGGTTGGGTCACAGGGTAGATATATTTTTAATTATTTTTTAAAAAACCATCTGCTGGACAGTTCTCAATGTAGATAAACCAAGTTAGGCCTCCACGAGCAGTGGATCAGTGGTGTACTTGGGTCGACTGCTCCACGCTCCCCCAGAGATTTGGTGAAGTTGGTGTTTTTATTTTCGCTGCCCCTGTGGGTGTGGAATGGCATCTTGCTGTGGTTTCAGCCTGCAGCTCCCTAGTGACCAGTTCCATCAAGCCATAGCACTGTTTTATCAGTGTCCCCCATGTCCTCCTCTAGACAAAGGCGTCCAAGGGCAGGCATCACGTCGGTCACCATCATCCTATGCCCAGCATCTCTTCAGGTCCAGACACACAGCCAGGTGTTTACAGAATGAACACATCCTTCAGAAATAAACACTGAGCAAGTACACGCAGCGCCAAACACTGGAAGTCAAGTTTAAACAGCTACAGACAAGAAAATCAAGACTGGCAAGTTCTACGCAGGACGATGTAATCCCCAGACCGGCGCTTGGCCGTGTCCAGTGTTTTCTGCTCTCCTCTTACCTGACTGGCCTATCAGCAGGTCTGAGCCCCATCCACTCCCTCCTCTGGGAAATGCTTTCTGCACTTCGGACGCTGGGGCGCCACTTTCCTGTCAGCTGCGGCCTCTGCCTCCCTAGCCCACTGGGGTTCTCCAGGACTCAGCACGGGAACAACTTGGGGCTTGTCTACATACACACAGTGACCCTCTCAAGGCCTGAGGCTTTGAAAGCCTGCCCCCTGTGGAGACCCTCACATCCCAGCCCACACTTGCTCCTGAACTTCTCTCCATCTGACGTCTCTCAGCCATCTTCTGTGGGTTGAACTGCTTTCCACACCGTCTGCTGCGTCCTGACCCTTGCGGTGTGAGTGTGCCCCTATTTGGAAGGTGACACTTGTGGGGTGAGCAAGTTCAGATGAGATGCAAGGGCGCCAGGGACCAGCAGGCTCGCCTGGAGCTGGAGGCGGCGAGGACGGCCCTACCCCTGGTCTTGGAGGACATATGACCTGCTGCACCTCGATTCCAGACCTCTGGTGTGTGGAGTGGTGAGAGAACAGTCCTGCTGTTTCAAGACACTTGGTTTGTGGCGCCCTGTTAAAGTGGCTCTGAGACGCAAACAGGCCATCGGAGTCTGACGGGCCCAGAACTGTGCTCCCTGCCCTGCCCGCTCCTCACACAGACTCGACAGCAGCCCTGTGGGCTCAGGCCACTCTGGGGTCACCACTGCGCTTCCTGTCCCTCACGGTGCACGTCCAGCCCCCTAGAAAGTGCCCCACTGCCAGGTTCTGGATGATGCCTGCCCATTCCTGTCCTGCTCCCCTGGGGCTGCTGGGGCTGTACCATCATCCTCCCCACCTGTCCCAACTGGTCTTCCTGCCACCTTCCTCAGTCTACTCCCAACTAGTGGCCACAGAAATCTTGTTACGATGCTGGTCACGGCAGGTGGACTCTCTGCCTTCCACGGCCCCTGCATCTCTCCGAGTAACATCCAGAGTCCTCCAATGCCTGCTGCTGGCCTGTGTCCGACCTCACCACTCCCAGCCACCCTGACCACTGCACATGCCCCGGATGCAGGGCTTTCTGCTGCCACCTCACCAAGGCGGGGCTCTCCCAGGATACCCTGAGTCTGCCTGGCACGCCTGTCACCTCCTTCCAGGCTTTGCTCCACACCTCCAGAAAGCCAGTCCCTGGCTGACCGCCCTTCCCAGTCCCTGCTGACCTGCCCCCCTCACCTGACCCCGAAATGTCATCACCTCTAACACACACAGCACGTACCTCCTGTGAGTACTCCATGCTTACAGTAGCTCTCTGAGGGTGGTGCTATCACAACCCCCTTTCACAGATGGGGCAACTGAGGTACAGAGAGGCTGACGTTCCTTGTTATACAAGGGCAAGTGGCAGAGCTGGGGCTCAAACCGGGAGAGTCTGACTGCGGCTGCACTCTCCTCATCCTAACCCTCACCTAACCTGACCACTGCCTGGCCCCGGGGCCCTCACACACGCACTTGTCCTGGTCCTGACTCCGCCGCCTCTTGGTGGTGTGAAAGCTCTCTGTGGGGACTGTGTTCTCTTGTTTGCTGCTCTGACCCCAGTGCTCAGGACAGAGCTGGGCAGAGAGTGGGCACTCAAATATTTGTTGAATGAATGAACAAATGAATTATTCTCAAAGGTGAAAACAAAGACACTGACTGTGCCCTTGGTACAAAGATAACAGATTCAGAGAAAATAAACAAGCCGGAGCAGTCCAGTCCCTGCCTAGAACCTGCCGTGCGTGGGGTCGGCAGAGGCAGGCTTCTCGGGCTGCTGGCAGAAGCCAAGTCGGGGTCCAGCCCCTTTGGCCTGAGCATTGCAGCCTTGTCCCCCACCCCCGCCAAAGGCCACAGGAACCGTGGAGAGCCACCAACTAACGGTCCTGGGAGCACCTGCAGGCCCAGGGTACCACACATGGGGCCACCCTTGTTTTCCCAAATGAAACTCTTTGTGACTTCAGCAAATTCTCTCTCCATCATGTTTGTGAAAACTTTGTAGGAATGGCAGACAAACAGATTTGGGATGAAAGCCTGGAGTGACTCTGAAGCTAAGGCGACGGCACGCTAAATAAAGAGACGAGAAATGCCACTGTCACATCTCAGCTTTAGTAAATGCATTCACTCCCCTCGCCTTCCATTTACTCACGGCCTCTAGAGAACGTGAGATCTCGCACTGCTGCGGAGAATGTCTGAACCGACCGCAGAGAACGTAACTTTAAGTATGTATGTTGGGTTCTCCATCCAATATCTGATAGTTAATTTGCAAGTTCCCCGACCCCAGTTTGATCGGATTTGATCTGAATCTGTCATAAATGCACAAAGGTGAGATAAACTGTGAACCACCTGTTTGATTTTCACCTGTTTCCCAGCATGCACGCTATGATCTTTGGGCTCTCACAGTGATGTATTCAGCATGTTGCGAGTGGACTGATGGCTACAGCCCCCAGGCAGCTTCAGGACGGAGGACAGGACTTCCAGTCCCATCCCCAACTCAGCCTCCGGGAGAGGGGAGGAGATAAGGGTTAAGCTGATCACCAAAAGCCAGGGATTTAATCAATCATGTCTGTGTCACGGAATCTCCCAAAAAGATGAGGTCAGGGAGTGTCCAGGTAGCTCTGAGCCCCTTCCCCACCCGTTGCCCTATGCACCTGCTTCCGCGTCCTCTGTGATATCACTTAGAATAAACTGGCAAATGTGTATTCTGTGTTCAGAGGCCTGTGAGCCAATCTAGCAGATGAATCCAACTCCAGATGGAACTGTGAGAATCTCAATTTGTCAGCAGAAGCCCAGGGGCCTGGAGACTGGCATCGGAAGTGGGAGGCAGCCTTCGGGACTGAGCTGTCCCCAGGTAGACAGTGTTGGGATTGAAGTGGAATGGAGGACACCCAGCCAGGGCCGGGTGCAGACTGACCGCTGGCTCGTTGTGGGGAAGTCCCCACACATGTGGTCCCAGAAGTCCTCCGTGTGGACTGTGAGAGCAGAGAAAAGCAGTCTGTGTTTCCACTTAGTGGCACTCAACAAATCTGCATGTACTTGGATTTCACTGGGAAGGAATTGGCGGATGCTGAGAAATTCTCGCATGCACCAACGGGTGGGTACGGTCAGCTACACAGAGGGGCCCGCCTGGAGGTCAGTCTGGCTGACCAGACACTCCCGCAGAGCACAGCTCTTTCTTTTCCTGCTCTTAAATACTAATCACTAAGCTATCATGGATCACCACAACCAGATTCTCAAAGGGGGCAGGCATTTCAGAACCTCTGTACCCTTTTTATTAAATCCCCCAATTTCAATTCTTTTAAGAGATGATTTTATCCCATTTACATCTAGTTATACATATTTTTTCTTATCCTATCGCTTCCTGTCTTACATTTTCTGTTTTAATGTTTCTTCCTTTAGTCCTTTACTCTTTACAGCTTTTCTTGTTTTAAGAATTTTTCTGGT